GGCAGCATTTTGAATATGTGGAGGTAATCCTGGGAGCATGCAACAGGCAAGCCCCAGGAAGCACAGGAGGTTATGTTCTTGGTTTGTCTGGAAGCTGGTTCCATGAGAGACCACTGCATTCATCACATCACCACACCAGAGCTGTAGTCTCTGGGAGAACTGAAGCTGGAATACCCTCAAAAGAACTGCCCACAAGATGTTCCCTCTGCGGGCCCTCCATTCTGGATAGTATTCCCTGCCTCAGCCTTACTGATCTTAGATTAATTAATTTTCTGGAAAGGCAGCAAAGCTGATCTTTCTTCTCAGGAGAGGAAAGAGTAAACCTGGCTAGGGCTAATTATTAGTACAGTATAATTAACTTCTAAATAGGATTTTAGAGGAAGCTGCAGAGGCTTTAAGCAGTCTAATGTGGCTCTCTCAATGCTATGAATCATAAGCTCTAGAAAAGGGCATGCTGTAATGGAGATAGGTGCTGCTGTGATCTGTTTTTATACAAATCTTAACACATACAGCATTTATCTCAGCCAAAATATCCCATTCTCTGCACTAAAGGCAGAAATGAAACACCTGGGGCTAAGGACAGAAGTTACACATAAACCGGTTTAAGTAATCAGAAGCTGGTTTAAACCTGTAACAGAACAGAAGATCTGTGCACATAAGCCACTTTCAGCCATTTTGAAATTGGTTTAAGATAAACCTAGCTGAGCATAGTATCAGACTACCTTTTGTTTTCCTAATTTCCACCTATTTACGTTCTCACTGACACCCTGCCCCACTTTCAGCTTTTCTCATTTCTTGGAGTCTCAGAACAGCAGAGACTCCCTATGCCTGAAGAAGAGTGATTGCGCCCAAAAGCCTACTAAGAACTTTTCCCCAACTACTCAGTTGATTTAATAAGAGATATCACATCTACCCAAATAACTTTTCCTGCCTATATCAGATTTAACTGATTTGGGTCAGACTGGTTTATAAAACTTCTGTCCGAGATCCCTTCCTGGTTCAAGTTAAATCTCAGTCCCCCCATCATCCCAGCATGCTTTGTAGGCCTGGGCTAAACTGTCTGCTCCAGAGAGCAGGCCTGGCCCCACCCCTTTGTTCCATAGCTGGAGCAGTGAGGGTGGTGCAAGCCCAACTGGGGATTCAGCCCAGTCTGTGGGTGGGGTGGGGGGCTTCCCCCTCCCCCAAGCAAAACCTGGCTACGGTCTGGGCCAAGGGAGGGGGGGTTAAACACCCCTTCCCCTGCTCAAATTTACTGATGGGTGCAACTGTGGACTACAAATCCCAAAGCTACCTGGAAGCAGGAAGAGGAAGTGATAAGCAACCCTGCAGGGTCCTACTGTTATGCTTCTGGACTGCAAATCCCAGAGATCTCAGGGGCAGCAGGAAGAGGAAGTGAGCACACAGCCCATGCTGGCTACAGGCCAGAGAGCCATGCTCTAGCACCCCCTGGCTTCTGGCCTAAGCCACTGCAGGCATGTGGCTGTATTTCCTGACTCATGTAAATGTCTGCCCAGTTGTTTCTCAGTTTAACCTCCGCAGGTTAAACTAACCTGTAAGGACTGAATCAATTTAGCATCAGGCTTTTTGACTGTCTTTGCCCTGGTGACCAGTTTACTGCCTAGGCTTAACAGCTTTAATTTCGCTTTCTCACCTAGTGTAGGAACCAGGAACAATGTTCAGGGTTCCTCCCAAGTTAGAAATGACTAAGAGGGAACATGGGTCATCCCACAGGGAAAAAAAGAGAATAAAGCCCCCCAAAAATGAGGCAATGGTTAATGGACTTTTAAAAAGCTACTTGACTAAGCAGTCATTACCTACAGGAATGCCTGCTCCCAATGGGAGCAGCTTCAAACAGCACTCTAAAAATCAAGCCATTTATTTTGGTGAATTTAGGAGCCTTTAGAGAAAATGACGCCTGCTTTCCTATATGTTATTATATATAGCATTACACACAATGGCAGTGCTCAGTAAGTGATCAGGACCAGTAAATACAGGTTCTTGTGCAATGACAGGCAATGAGAGAGCTGATGAGGGGAAACAAACGTTATTTGTCATGGGAAATAAAAATCAGGTGGAGATAAACAGCACAGTGCAGCTTCAGAGAACAGTTCAAGCAGAAGGGCCATGTTTATTCTGAGGCACATGATTATAGATCCCATTGACCTGAATGGTCAGAATTGGGCCCCTTAATTTCATATTAGGGAGTACAGTAGCTATAGTTCTGTCAATGCCCTGCATATTAACCAGCGAGATTACACAAAGCAAGGCTAGAGTGACACTTCCCAATGAGATGCATGCTCATTCCGTATAATCAGCAGCACGGCCGTCGTAAAGGTGGAGCTTTTGTATTTAGTCTGTGTCACTGTCATGCTTTTTTATACCTTTGGCTTTCTCCTAATAAAAGAAAAATCATAAAAACACAAAGGATCCCTTACTGATTGTGAATATAAATGTAGTGACACAGTGTATTAGTATGCACAATGCCCGTTTTATATGCATGTTGTATTTGGTGTGACAACATACTTGAATACAGATTTTTGCGGAGAGTATTCCAAAAGGTATTAACGATTGGCTATCAGACAGGACTTAGAATAGTCCCTTCTGTTGTCAAACAAGGGGAGTTTTTCTTTGCCTGTTTCTCTGGGGGGAGCTTAACAACTGGAAACAAGATCATTTTTGCATCTTGTTAGTTCCTATTTCTCACCAGGGCTGTGAGAAACTTTCTCAACAAAATCAAGGAACTGGTGATACAGAGAATATCCAGGCCTAAGGGTCTCCTCTCCCACTGCAAGCTGCTGGGAAGCTTACAGCTCCTTAGCCTTCACCTTTCCAGTCTGGGCGCCAGGCTTTTGCTGATTGCCAGCTTTCTAGGAAATGTTAGGTGTCAGATCCTTCTGCATCTTGGTACTCTGAAGAACCCAGTGTCTTCCTGAGCCATGCCGAGGAGTTTTGGGGTACAGGAAGCCACCCACAATCCCAGCCTATATCCACGTTACAAGAAATACAGATTAAATCTCATGACCTGTGCATTCAAGTCTGAGAGAAGAATATCCCAGAAGCATTTGTGCCCATGTGATATTGCAAAAGCTTCTGAAGTGTCTGTGGGGCCCACAATGCAAAGGTAGGAGTAGGAAAATATTTGCTTGACAGCTCAGGGGTTGGGGGCAGGGAGTCTCATACTTCCTAGAAGTATGGAGTTGTGGTGACCCCACCAGATGTACTGTTCCTGTCTGAAACTGCAATATAAAGAGGTCAGGGGTGTACTTGGTACACCCTTGGTACTTTTCCCAGAGCCTGATGAAGGGACTTTGATCCCAAAAGCTTGCAGAAAAGGACAATTTTCTTGCCATTTTCCAGTTGGTCTAATAAAAGGTATCATTTTGGAACCAAGAGTTCTAGTTTTTGTATATAAGAGATGCCACTTCAAGAACACAGAGGAGGCAGTGCAGGCCAGCAAACAAAACAAGCTTTCCTTGGACAACATGAGAACTGGTCCATCAGAGAGAGATGTTTCTTTCACCTTAAATCTCACAATCTCACAATCCAGCTGACAGACAGCTTCCAAGTGTTTTCTGCTCTCCATGTACATCTGAACCATATGTGGGATGCCACCAAGCTATGGCTATGAGCTACTGAACTACCTAAACTCCTTAAGAGAACAAATCTTTGGTCATCAACCACAGGCTATGACTCAGCTTAGCTCTGGTAGGAAAGCAGTCAGGCCTATTCCCTATGCCACCTGAGTGCAGCTTGTTTGCAACTGTGATGCCACTAAGATGGTGATGATGGATCATTATTACTCACACGATAATTTTAAGTAAAAGCCTTAATAAGAACTCATTAGTTTTACAAACTGTATGCATACTGCATACTGTAGGAAGAGATGCCAGATTGCCCACTCTCGGTAATATTCCATGCAAACACTGATATGCTTCTAGTAATTTTAACTAGATCAAATTAGCAAAGAGACAAATAGCTGCACAAAAAAAATCATATTAAACATAAGAAAATGTTCACTAGAAGATGCATCTAAGAAGAGAGCAGGGGGATACAGGAGGGAAGGAAGATGGACAGAGAAGCCCAAGGAATATACTGACCTACCTCTGAAGCCATGGTACATAAGTCAGCAATTTGATACCGAAATCCTTAGGTCCACAAGATGGAAAAATAGTTCTCCATAGCCATCTTCTGCAGATCTGCTGGAAGACTAACCAGTCTATTTTCCAGTCTCTTTCCTTCAGTTGCAGTTGCCTCTGCAGTCAACACTCCAGTAACAAAGACTGTGCATCTGATAATAATCCCATCTAAAACCCATGCAAGCATCCAAGATGACTGTTCCTTTGCTTCCTCCTCCAAACTTGCAAAACATTGAGTCTGACTTGCTTTTTTTCCCCTGGTTATTTCTCATTGTGCATGGCAGGTGCAGTTGATCCAGACAGAAAGCAAAGCCAATCACTTTTCCCTCCCCCACAACCCCAGTTCCCTTGGAGGTCAAGAATTTACCGTCCATTCCACTTGGGTCGATCTGTTTCTATTTCTGTGATGGACAAGCAGCGAATCCAGAGAAAGTTGACAGTGCACACGCACACACACGCACGCACCTGAGCGTGCACACACGGGAACACTTTTTTGCTTTTTTCATTATGTTTTTTTTTTTCCTTTTTGCAAAAAAATGCAAGCAAAAGAAAAACAAGGTTTTCTATTGAAGGTACATCTCTTCTTCAATATGAAGACATTAACTGGATTGATTTGGATCTCCCATGCAGTGGTCAGAAGTCCTTTGGTAGTTGACAGAGCAACACCTTGGTATTAGATTAGGTAGCTGTGGAGACTTCTAAAGACACTTCCACACCAATCATGAGCAGAAAAGGAAGAAGGTGTGTGATAGAGGATTGGGAAGGAGAGCAAAAGAAGAAATGAAAAGGAATATCATTGCAGAAAATTCTCTCTCTGGGTTGGAAACTCAGTACTTGCACCTCCTCCTTCCCAATGGCTCCTCCTTTCTTATCAGTTTCAACTACTGCTCACTGGTGGTGGGATTGGAGTCCGTTATTTTTTTTCCCCCAACACACATTGGTTTGTCTTCATTGTCTTTTAAATATATGATTTGTACATATTTATATCTATGTATATGCTGTTTCCCATGACATTGGTAAGTGTGCTTCTGTTGGTGAGAAACGGAAGTTGCCGGTTAGAAATGAGTCCCGTGTATTCTTTGTCTGCAGCTGTTACAGTTCTCAGACAATAATTCAACCTCTCCAAATGTTTCACTGCTTTGTCAGTTAGTTCCTCCCCACCCCACCTCTGGCCCTTCATTGCTTCCCCTCCCTTTCCCAAATCCAGTGGTGCTTTAATATGGATTTAATATACCAAACCTCAGAAACTTAATTAGATCACAAAGAAGCTACAGTAAATGTGTGGCAGCTGCATCTGAGTACCAGCCCCAGTGGACATAGTTTCAGATAAAAACAATGCAGCTAGGAAGAATATGAGTATGCAAAGACAAGCCTTAAGTGTGTTTCCAGAGAACAAGCATTTAGAAAGGGAGAATGTATTCAAGTTTTATC